TCATTAACCCATTTAATCCCATATGTTTGTGACGGAAATTTACTCTTGACTTTAAAGGGTCTAAACTGAGGATGTGGTGTATTTTACATCGAACGTTTATTTACACGGTGTAAATGGTCACGTGACGCACGTGGAACGTCATGTCATAATACAGACACATTATCAAGATACATATTTGAACGTAATATTAATGTATTATTCAGATTGTTCTGTTTTATGTCAATCATAGTAGGCCTATGTAAACATGTCGCAATTGTGGCCAGTGGAAAACCCAGAGACCCTCTGTAGTTTCCCACCAGACTGGGAAAAATCCGAGAAGCAAATACGTAAAAAGTATAATATTCCAGTACTGACTGACCACGTAAATAGCCTACATGTGGTTACATTATTTTGCAGAGCTAAACATTTTTATATAAAGTAACCAAATCTGCAAAGTATTTTAATACATTTTGTAATTTCAAAAACTTTAAATTAAATTGGATAATTAATTCAATGTACCTTTTTACATTTCATAGGCACTTGTGCGCGTGCTGTGTTCTGTATTTCTCTATACGCAAAAAGAGAATAATGTGTATTGAGGGGGAAAAACACATAAAAAGGCGCACGTCCGGATTATATTTAAAACAGTGATAGTGTAAGAATATCCGTTTTTGGTATAAATAACTTTCCAGTAGACGTTGGTCCGTGATGCGCGCGCTAAGCCAACCTTCTTTGCCAGCCTATGCTTCATGTTTAATGCTGGGGTTGGTTTTGTCGGCATGTTTAAGAGCAAGGTCCTCATTTGTCACGCCTTCAAGTCAGTTTCAACGATATCTCGCAGTTTTTACGGATCATAACCCTTTCCTGCCAAAGCTGAAATAATTAGGCTACTCGGTGAATATTCTTAATGGCCCCAATATCAATACAATTAAAACGGTCACTATGAGAGCTGGTGGCTATCCCTCGGAAATGCACATTAGATTATTATTAAAATCTAATTAGGCTACTAATAATCTACTGTGAGACTGTGATTCAGACGCCGTGCGAAACAATTATTTAATCGTTTAATCGAAAATGCCACGGTTGACTTCGACAGAGCTCTTAGAGAGATTGTTTATGAGTGTGAAAACTCGGTAAGTAATGCTCTGTGTGCCTGTATATAGGACATCAGAGCTTAAGCTAAAAATAACTGATGTAGATTTCGTATCATCGCTGGGAATGAACTGTTCCGCTCCCAGACATTGTTAGTTCAGCTGCGGGTTGCCAGATATTATTAACCCCTAAAAATTAACATGACAGAAAAAAATCTAAAACCTTCTTATATGGCTTCAAAGATATCCTATATTTATTGTGGTTTTAGGACATGCCTAGTTAGTTCAACAGGGGGTTGCTAGATCATATTAAAAGCAAAATTAACTCTTTCAAGTATGCATTAGTCTCTTAAAACCCGGCAAAACATTTTAGGAAAAAGTTTGTATTTGTTCATGTCATTATACTGTTTAGAGCATTAAAAAAAAGTAAAAAAATAAAAATGATATTTCATTCATAAGTTATGCTACGTCCTTGGTAGAGGACATCGGGACTCAATATCTTTTAAAAAAATAAAAAGACATGAATGAACATGCATAGGCAAAAACAATTTTTTTAAAAAATCAGCAATACATTTTTAGTTTTCAGGATTTTTTTGACCAAACTTTGTATAAAGATAATTCTCAACTATGTTATAACAGAATGATTTGATATACCATTTTTCATCATGCAAAATGTGTGTAAAATTGCCACAAACAGGTGTTCTCGTTATATATAAATGTATATATAAACTAAATCTAATTTGCATATTAATGTGTTTTTGGGACAACATGTAATGAAAAAAGAAGTGTAATATTGAGAGTAATAATTGACAAGATTTTCATAATAATATATAATATTTCATAGGAATATTGAAATATATTTTCTTTCGCTATTCATTTGTTGTGTCTCCCAAAATGCGTAATAAACATGCATTTAGTCCCGGTGTCCTCATATGAGGACATGTATGAAATCAACCTCCTGTTTCATAACAAAAAGTAATATTTTGATTTGGAACCCCGTAACATTTCAGTCAGATTTAAATGATGATTACAAAATATTATCATATTTCCATAAGAGTGTCACTAAATTAATATCAGACATTTTTGAAGACCAAGGAGAGGGGGTGGTCATGGTGAAACATGCAAACATTTAGTATCTCTGAAAAGCCCTGAATGTGCATGACTTAAAACTGTGGCATGTATAGTCTCAGAGAAATTCACTAAAATATAATGTCCTCATATGAGGATGCAGGGTCTCAGGAGGTTAGTGTAAATATTTTCAAACTAAATATTATTGTTAGACAGCTATAGCTGAGACATTATTATTATTATTAGTTCAAATGTGGGCTGCCAGATACTATCATTAACCATTAAAATGACAGGAAACAATCTAAAATCTTTTAAGCATATTTCAAACTCAGTATTAACCTTTTCAGAAATGTAGGGTAACCATAGTTTATGGTGAAATATCATAGTTACCACAGCTATTGCTAGGTAACGAAATGTCAGAAAAATTATGAAAGCTACTATGGTATTTCGATGGTGCATATTTGTAAAGAACAAAGTATAGCCTTGCCTGTACAGAGCAATCTGAAACTGTATTCATAGTCAGCTAGTAACCTGTCATGTTCACCTTCAAAATGATAAATCATATGGTAAAGCGATGTCTGATGCAGTGACCCAGGATGACAGTTTCATAGCAGTGTAGAAATACCCAGTGTACCTTCCTCCTCACCTGAAAAAGCCTGAGGCCAAGTGCTTGTTAGGACACAACTAAACAGTCACTCATCTAAAACCAGCCCCAGATGATGTAATCTTATTAGTCCAGCACTCCGTCTCAGGCAGTTCTTCAATCATGATCTCTTCCTGTGTCTAACATGGAGGTTAAAAACATCAAGAACACAATGTCCCCTTCTTTCCACATGAGCATAAAGCATTTAAGTCAGTTCTTCTGCAGGGTGTCTAAACTATCCATCGCCAGCCAAGGAAATATGAGGTGAAGTGCTCATATTTTATCTTCGTGCTGATGTAATGCTGGCTTCCCAGTGTATAATTCAATTAAAGTGATGAACCTCACACATATACACTGGAAGAGAACGAACCTGGATGATATACTGATATTGAACCGGCACAATCTGCGGCTAAATTATTAATGTTACTTGGAGGTGAATGTGAGCGGTAAACTCTTTATCTCTATACTGTCACTCATGCATAAATCAAGGCAGAAAGTCATCCTGATATGACCTGTACAACACAATGTACACAATAAATCCTTCTAACTGGGTACATTAGGGCCAAATTATTCAATTATTACAAATTTAGTTTGGCACAAATTTTGGGCCTGTGCAAATTAGGTGACATGATTAACGATGGTTTGACTAATCACTAGCACTTGAAGTGGCAGAAAAACAATTTTGCATATATTAAATACAGAATATTAGTAAAGCGGTGGGAAATAATGCACACCAACTTTTAATAATTTGATAAATATATGGCCTTTAACCTGGTCCATCATCCAATTTTCGTTAGAAAGTTTTGGTCACTTTGGAATAGGTTTGGCATTTTCAGTCTTTTCTCCTAAATTGTAACACTGTCTCACTGTCTGGTGGGAAATTTATATTGGATCCACTAATTGATCCACTAATACCACAATAAAATAAATAACTATGGGCCAACAGTCAATATACTATAATTTATTCAATAACACAATTAAAAGAACCAAAGACTTAAACTACTTCAGTCTGTGTGCATAGAATTTATTCAATACACGAGTTTCACAATTTGAGTTGAATTACTGAAATAAATGAACTTTTCCACGACATTCTAATTTATTGAGATGCACCTGTATATACATATCTGTACATTCCTGCTATGATGTTTCCTTGTTTCTTTTCTCAGCATATTTCAAGTTTTGAAGTAGGAATACTGCTTTGAAAACCAAAATGGTCTGCAATGCATCCTCAAGACAGATCCTCCATTCGAGGGTGTTTGCTGTGGTTTCCTGAAGGAGATGAGACTGCAGATGAATCAGGAGTAGTTCTGGGTTCATCTGGGGCATCCCTAAAACCCTGGACCTGTGTGAGATCACAAATGTATATATATGCATATTATTACAGGGTTATTATATTTAACTAAAATTAAAACCATTAAAACGTCGAGTACTTAAATTATACGGTAACCAAAATAAAATAAAATGTAACTTAAATTAGTTTTATTTCATCTAGTTGCCAAAGCAATATTTAGTTTAATTTAACTTTTAATTTAATTAATTGAAGTACTAACTAACTAAATTTAAACTAAAAATAATAAATAAAAATAATAAATAAATGTATAAAAAGGCATATTTAAAATAAAAATATCAAAAACACAACAAAATTACTAAAACTTAACAAAAATTAAAGTGAAAACAAAATTAAAATCTAATTCAAAATATTAACAAAAACTATAATAGTATATCAATAACACTAAAATAACATTACTGTATATATTTATTATATATTTTATTTTCCTTACATTTTTCTTTATACATTTATATATACACACACATTCCTGTGATTAACACCTTTATACATTTTTCTTACATAACATATTTTGTCCTTACATTTTTCCCACTGTTACTCTTAAACTTACTGTAATCTGATATTGAATTGTGGCCTCCATTTGACTTGGGGACTTGTACAAGGAGGCGAGCCTAAACACAGAGTGGACAGGTGAGAAAAGCATACAATTACTTGTTTTTTTGTTGCACAGTGCAACCTCTCCCTCTCTGACCTTGTCTGCTTGGTTTAAAAGCAAGAGGGTCTGTGGCAATTCAAATGCAGGGAGGCGGAACTGTACAGCCAGCGGGAAGACCTTCAACTTTATGACAAGAGACGAGAAAGCATGATGGAGATGCACTCTGTGCCTTTCTGCTGCCTGCTGTTACAGAGTAATAGACTGGCAAGTATGCAGGATGCATTATGAATAAGGTCTGGATACAAAAGGCAAAGCAAGCTACTTGTTCAAAGTGATTCATTCCATCACCCACAGAGGTGAAGGGTAAAGAGTTAATGCAACATGCACTCTCTCTCTCTCTCTCTAGAAGACACATTTGGCTGAGAACACCACAGATGTTGGCTTCTATTTTCTAAAGCCACATTTTGCTGTGTCAGGTTGAGTGGACTTAAAAGACTAAATCCAATAAAAAACACAAACACCCTCCCACACAAATAGCAAATTAAAAGTGTCTGTGTTTACCTTCGCAGTCCCTCCCAGTGCAGGATGAGCCTCTGCGTCGCAGCATGACCCCAACTCTCACCTGAGGTGTGAATTTTAATTGTTATTAGATTGGTGAATATGCAAAACAATACGACACATGAATGTATTCATATCTGTTATGTCTTACCTAATGCAGGAACCAGCTTAGATTGGCCATTTGAAACCCTTGTCGTCATCTGATTGGTCAAAACAACCTAAGAGCACATGATAACTGAACGTAATTATTTTTTATAAAAAAATATATATATATATTCTTAATATTTATTTTTCATTATTTTATACAGTTTAGATATTCTTAATATTATACATTTACATATAACATATATAACATACATACAAACATACATATAAATATATATATATATATATATATATATATATAGACCAGTGTTATTTTAGCATTATTGATGTACTATTAGTTTTTGTAAATATTTTGAGTTAGATTTTAATTTTATATCTTCTGTTTTTCTTTCTGTTTTTTTATTATAAAGTTTTTGTAATTTTTTATTAGTTTTTTTATGCCTGTATAGTTTGTATTATTTTTATTAGTTAGTTCTTAAATTAATTAAATTACAAGTTAAATTAAACGGAAATGAGAAATATTGTCTCAAGTTGCTTATATATTTCATATTTTTATTCTAATTTAATTATTATTAATTTAACAAAATGTGAGTATTCAAAAATAATTAATCAAATCTTATATATATCCTAATCAAATATCCTGAACAAATACACACACACATATAATATTAAATTACTTTTTATTAAATATTAGATATTTTTATTTAACCAAATATAAGTATTCTGCAAAAAATAAATAATTAAATTGATTTGTCTGCCATTCATTAATCTGTTTCAGTAGTAAGAGTTGCTAAATACCGCTAAACTATGTTGTGTTGCTAGTTGGATAAGCTGCTGGGCAAGGCCATTCAGGAGGCGGGTCCTCTGAGAAAGATCCTCAAAGTCATGCCGGAATGGGAAGGCGATGCTGTCAATCACTACTAACTGCACCTATGATTGGATGATACAATAACATGTCATTTATGAGCATGCAAATAGCAGTAATATCACTTTGCTGAAAGGGTTGTCCTTAGCTGTGGTCCTGACTATCCATTTTTTACCTCAGGATGCTCGGAAAGGAAGCAAGGTAGGAGGTAAACCTCAGCTAACAGCTCTACATAGTCATGGCAACGGACCAAGAAGAGGTTGGAGAGGATCTTCTCAACAGTAAGTTCCTCTAAAGCCTGTCTCTGTTCTAAGAGGAAAAGCAAAGACAGATTTAACAATTAAACATGTTGTGTCTCATAAATTTGCATGAAACTACTGGTAAACAGTATTAGGCCTGTAGAGCTCATAAAGCATTTTCTACTGAATATATGTACATTTAGACATCCCAACATCTCAGCTACTCAAATCAGACCTGTATCCTCTGCCAGGAGGGTGCAGTGCTGCACGACTGCCTCCGCCATATCAGCAACACCGCTGCACTAAGAAACTCCCTTCTGTGTCTATATACAGTGCCTCTCCTCCCAGACCCCTGACTATCCATTTTTTACCTCAGGATGCTCGGAAAGGAAGCAAGGTAGGAGGTAAACCTCAGCTAACAGCTCTACATAGTCATGGCAACGGACCAAGAAGAGGTTGGAGAGGATCTTCTCAACAGTAAGTTCCTCTAAAGCCTGTCTCTGTTCTAAGAGGAAAAGCAAAGACAGATTATTTGACAATTATACATTTTGTCTCATAAATGAATTCAAATGGGTAAAGTTTAACAATATTAGGCCTGGAGAGCTCATAAAGCATTTTTTCCCTGAATATACGTACATTTAGGCATCCCAACTTATCTTAAATACTCAAATCAGACCTGTATCCTCTGCCAGGAGGGTGCAGTGCTGCACGACTGCCTCCGCCATATCAGCAACACCGCTGCACTAAGAAACTCCCTTCTGTGTCTATATACAGTGCCTTTCCTCCCAGACCTCCAAAACACACAGGAATCTGCACATCCACAGCCAGCTGCATGCTAAAAATGGGAAAAACAACTCTTTTATGAAAATTACAAAGACATCTTGGGGCACATACCACTTTTGAAATATATGTGCCACATATTACAAAGAAGTTGAATTTATGATGCATTATACAATTTATAATTGATTTCCTCCCATACCACAGATGAGTCTTTCCGACATCAGGGGCCCCGCAGATCTCGGTGGTCTTCCCCACAGGCACGCTCCCGCCGAGGGCATCATCTAGGGCCGAGCAGAATGTCACAATGCTCCCCGGAGCCTGCTCCTGGTGCAGGAGATCCAGAGCTGTTAGGCTCTCTGTTGCCGCCCTCTGCTGGTGAGGCCGGCCATCATCCCTCAACACCTGCAACACCTCCACTGCCTCCTCCTGTGATATACCTGCCTCTGTGACCAGCACGGATTTAACTAAATGTACTTTTCTAGTAATCTGTGACTCTTGTGAGGCGGTAAGAAAGGTACTTTGTTGATGGGTAAATACCTTTGCAGAGCTGAAGAGGACGCATGTCGGTTAAGACTGACGCCACTTGGAAACCCGCATTGATGAGCTTCACCTTCATTGAGGGCGCCAGGGGGAGGCTGGGCACTGTCCTGTACATTTTACTGTTCACACTGACAAAAACCGGACTGAAATGCCGTTAATGTCGGTACGTTACTATGCCAGTTTAGGACAGATGACAGCTAATTCTAGCCATATAAAATAGCCTTATTTGGGTGAACACATTCAGAGTCACTCTATGAAGGATTTACTATCAATAGAATATTTTTGAGAAATCGAAATGAGATTTTAAAATATAAACATACATGGACTTCCGTTTCTTATTTTTTTCTTCCTTTTGATCCTCCCTCCAAAACAACAGACACTGAATGGGAAGATTATCTTCAAAATAAAAGTCCCAAGACGCCACTGACATTTTAGTTTACGAGTACAAATTCTGACAAGTTTTAAGTTAAATATACATTACTTATGTGGTTTCTGTAGTATATTTATTTAAAGTTAATTGCATAAAAGATATATAAAATTATTAAATGGTTCCATTTATTTATTATTTTATATATACTTCTGAACAATACGGCTTTAGCATGTAGTAATTTTATTAAATATAATATGGACGTTTTGTTATCGTAATCGTTATTCTTGTTTTATTTTGCTTATTTATATACTTAGCTATATACACTGCAAAAAAATGCTTTTAAAGCTTAGATTTCTTGTCTTGTTTCCAGCCTAAATATCTAAAAATTCTTAAATCAAGAAGGATTTTCTAGACAAGTAAAGATTATTGTCTTGTTTTCAGAAAAACAAGTCGAATTTAAGTGAGTTTTTGCTTCAAACAAGCAAAATAATCTGCCAGTGGGGTAAGCAAAATAATCTTGTTTTCTGTTTGAATTTTTTAGATATTTAGGCTGGAAACAAGACAAAAGATCTAAGCTAGAAAAGCATTTTTTGCAGTGTACTACAGCTTTGATATTTATTTTCATTTATTGTAACCCACCACTTGGTAAAATGCCGTTGATTATATACCTTTCTCTTGGTATTGTTTGTTTATGTTATGCATATAATCATAATAAAAAAACGAATGTTGGAGTATATAGCAAATACATTATATCGCCACTAATTCAGTAATTAGCTAAAGACAAAGATAAAAATCCTAGCCATTCAATCTTGCTAGCACGATCATTTCAGTCCAGTTCTTACTCAGTAATGAACAACTGCTGAACCTGTTATTTTATCTCGAAAACATAATGTGAACCAACCAATAGCGATTATTGAAACGCCAAACTCCACTGTCCCTTATCCCACCCCGTACATCTGACGTGTGTATACAAAACTAAAGCACTTTATTGCAAGAAAAAGAATGCGCGTCGACATTTCGTGCCTAAGGTAAACATGTTATATAAACGCCCTAGAAGCTTCAATGATGTTTGGTTTTCGTAATTATATTTTTAAGTCGGTATTTTTTGTAACCTGTTTCAGTCAGTCTAAAGTGGCGCAGCTCAGCGCTTTTTAGAAGCCGAATAACTGAATGTGTTTAGATCCGTGTCTATTTGACACAGTTGAGCTCAGATCAACAGATCAGTCGAAAGTCTTTTGTTTCATTAGCTGTAGAACCTTATTATAGAATATCATGAACTGTCGATCAGAAGTCCTGGAGGTGTCAGTGGAGGGCAGGCAGGTGGATGAGGCCATGCTAGCCCTCCTGCACACGATCCTCCTGCACCGCAGCACAGGTAAATTTCTCTATAAGAAAGAGGGCACGTACTCCATTGGCACGGTGGGAACTCAAGACGTGGACTGCGACTTCATCGACTTCACATTAGTGCGAGTGTCTTCTGATGAGCTGGACAGGGTTATCAGGAAAGCGGTAGCCGAATTTAAGGTGGGCTACTTTTAATGACATTAGTTCGTTTAAGAGATGTATTTTATTAGACTATTAGGCTTTAATTCACTATAAAGGTGTACCATGGTAACACCATGTTTGGACATGCACCATGGTAGTACCAGAATACTCTTTGAATTAACTTTGAGTATCATGGTATCACTCTACTTAATCATGGTTCCACCAAACACTTATTGGTGGAACACTTTTATATCTTTCCATTCATTTCATATAGCCTACGTTTTTTCTTTTCTAAAAACATACTTTTCCCCTCAGTATTTCTTTTGTGTAAATAATACCCAGCACCAACACATAAAAACAAAGACAATATATAAACAAGTGGGTAGGTTTTTACATCTCCAGATGGCAAATTAATTTATGTTCTCATATTATATCTATATTACGCATTTATAATCACATTGTTAGAGACAATGCCTAAAATTAATATACTATATGAATTAATCTAATATATGTATTCCTTTATATTCTTTCATTTCAGAGGTGCCTGTATCTTTTCAATAAAATATTCTTTTGCTCTTAAATGTCATGTTCCATAGTTCTATGGAAACTAACTCTAACCAATTATCTAAAAGTGGGGATTCTTGCCTTCTCCAAAATCGTATTGCTTTAAATGCTGTAATTCTCAAATTTCTTAAATAAATGTAACTCATCTAACAGAGAATTCAAAATATAGTCACATTATACCAAGACTATATTTTGTAACCTTACTATATTTGGTTTCCTAAAGACTTGTTTTATCAATTACGAAATTACTTCTGTCCATTTTTTTGTTATTAACAAATTCATATCCCAAAGGCTTTAATAAGGTAGCAGTGATTGTTGCGTTTTTACACATTTTATAACCACAACCTTGTTTCTACCCAGGATGCTCTTGGTAATTCTGGGAGTGATGGCATGGGTCAGATCTCTTTGGAGTTTTACCAGAAGAAGAAGTCACGCTGGCCCTTTTCAGACGAATGCATCCCGTGGGAGGTCTGGAGCATCAAGGTGAACGTGGTGAACCTGGCCAACGAACAAGAGCGCCAGATCTGCAGGGAGAAGGTTGGCGAGAAGCTCGGCGAGAAAGTCATCAACATCGTGGAGGTCATTAACCGTCATGAGTATCTTCCCAAGATGCCCACACAATCGGAGGTGGACAATGTGTTCGATACGAGTTTGAAAGACGTCCAGCCGTATCTGTACAAGATCACGTACCAGATCACTGATTCTCTGGGCACGTCAGTGAGCACTACCATGAGGAGGCTAATCAAAGACACACTGGCATTGTAAAAGACAGTCAAGCAGCTGAAGCCAGATGCTTCATGGACGTTTATGATGATCTTGTAAAAATAGAAAATCATTGCAATGGGATTTCAAATAAATTCACTACACTTTCCCTGTATAATAATGCTGTCCACTATGTTTGCATCAGCTAATTCAAGCAAGCAAATTATTCATAATTTTGTTGTTGTTTTTTTTTAATAAAATCGAATTATGTTCCCTGAATTATATATATTTTTTTCTTCCAAATTTATCTGAATTTTTGTTACCCTGATAAGTAGGTGCTTTTTCCATGCATTCACCTTAATTCAAAAGCTAAGTAATAACTGTAATGTCTATTCAATAAAAAAAATGAGCCTGTTCAAAAAAAAAAAAGAACAGATTTAATATATATTTATGTGAGAAAACTCCTATACTGTATATATACTGCATACTGTTTTTCTTCCCACAGTTAAGAATTTCTATTTTACCCAACTTTTAAAAAAATAAACTAAAAGTATAATATATACAAGTGTT